GGCAACCCACCCCCCCCCCCCCCCCACACACACACCATTTTGACTAATTTGAAAACTAAGAATGCTTATATAAAATGAACTTCATAGTGTAGATTGTAGAGCATTTCACGCTGCATCTTTTGATAAATTTTGCTTTTTTTGAATAGAATGTATTAATTGATGAAAACATGCAATGCGAAAACCGGCCATTGATTATGGTAGACGCGTTAATAAGCCACCTGCAATATCGATACAAATTGAGAGAAAGACTTCCGACCTTTCTGTTCATTTTTTCTCTTCTAATCATTTACGTTTTGTTGTGCGAAGCATCGCGCAAAGCTGGAATGCATGTTTATTTTAAAAGGAATATGAGAAAACAAACTACAGTAAAACTCTTCTCCTAATAATTATCAAAGGTAATGAAACAAAAGAATATTTCTCTCAAGGCAATACTAAAAATTAATTGTGTAGATACATAAATGTAGTTGATTACATTACATTCTGACGACGAGAAGCAGGATGAGCCTTTTTTTGCTTGCCAGTACCACTATCCATAGTAAACATATTCATACACTTAACACTCTTCGACTGTGGCGCATTGCATTTATTTTTCTTACAGCATTTTTGCTCTCGAAAAATTTCCGGCATTTGCTTCATTTGTTTACACATTTGATCAGTGGTCAATATATATGCCCATTTGACTGTTTTCAAACGTTGTTCTTCAGTCGTACATGCCGTATCGTCTGGAGTACATTGGATACGGTACTTGGCGCACGCACAATTCTTCGCAGGAATCCCATCACCACAGCCATTCTGACTATAACTTGTATCCATCACAAAACATTGTGAATCAGTACCCGTATAACACTGTAATGCTGAGACTTGACAGACCATAAAAATAAAGACAAGAAGCTTGAATAGCATAATACTTCGATTTCTATTGGTGTCAAAATAAGTATTTACTACGTTTCTTCTTACAGGCAGGTATTGATAAAGGAAAAAAGTGAATCTTTCTTGTCGCTATCAAATTCAAATATGATTATTTCATGTTGACTCCCTCATTCCTCTTCCATGTAGGGATGCCCCGATTCATACACCCC